TCATACTGTATTTTGGGTTATAACATTGAACAGAAGGCTGTTTTTGTTTGTTTTTTGCAAGAGAATTTCAGTTAGGAAGTGTGCAAACAACAGAGACAAGTTAACTTAATGTAAAGCAATTTATGAGGAGGTTTGAAATAAATTGTTGAATCATATTAAGGAAAAACTGGAGATCCAGGTTGGAAGGTGAACCTCAGATAGAATCTCTTTAACCCTTGCTGTACCTAGTCTTATCTTTCTTCTCTGATTTAGGGGACCACATTCTCCTTGAAATATTTGTGGAGGCTACACCACATATGAGACTATGTTCTGGGTGCTAGAGCTGGTGGGGAGTCCTGTCTCCTAAAATGCTAATAAACTAGAAAAGACAGAAAAGAACTACCAAAATAAAGGAAAAAAATTGTGCGACAAATTCTTAGAAGAAAGATAAATGGGGAGGATTGGGGGCCAAATTTGTACGAAGATTTGAAGAAGGTATAGAAGAGAGCCTGCCACACAGGTGTTTTGGAGGTTTGAGTTTCTTATGGGATAGACAGAAAAGGCCAATGAGGCATGAGTTCACTCCCTGTTCAAGGCAGAGAGAAGTGATAACTGGGCAGTGGTGAGAGATGAGCAGTATGTGGTAAGATTTATGGGTATGAAGATCATTTAGAAGACATCAACTCTATCTCATCTGCTTAGAGCACCAAATACTGTTTACTCACAGGTGGTCATCTAAGTATTGTGTGCAGTCTCATGGAGATGCCTTGCTCTGGACATAGCTCTTCTTATGGCAGACCAAACAGTAACCACATGGTCAGCCACATGTTGACTCTTAAGTGTTTTCTCTAGAAATGACAGCTTAGGCTTCTGTGATATTGTCCAGAGCAAGCCATGTAATGAAACCCAGCATTAGTGGAATGGGGACTTGTAATCATCAGCCAGAGATGGAGAATGAGTATTTTTGAACATTGACACAATTTGCCACAGAGTTGCTGAATAATGCCATAATCTGTTTTGACATTTAGAAACCATTATGATGTTAAGGAAATACTGGGATAGTGAGGCAAGAAAGAACAGAAAAAAAGTAGTGAACAATCCAACACTCTGCATGAGAAATGTACACGGAAGAGGGCCTAGGCCCTTCCACAAATGATGTGACAGACTTGATGATCCCCCAGGGAAGACCTCACTCTCCTTGGGGAGTGGGTGAGGGATGTGTTGGGAGGTTAGTGGGGGCATGGGAGGATGGAAGGGTGAGGGAATGGGGGATTGATATGTAAAATAAATTGTTTCTAAAACAAAAAAAGAAAGAAAGAAAGAAAGAAAGAAAGAAAGAAAGAAAGAAAGAAAGAAAGAAAGAAAAGGGCAATGGCACTGCAGTCCATGAGAGGTGGATGGATTCTGGGTTTAGATTAAAGGTCTAGCCAACAAGATTGACTACTGGAGAGAAAGGGAGACTTCCGATTACTCTTGGTGTTTGAAGCCAAAGGAAGATTAAAGTTGCCATCAGTTTTCACCTGGATGAGTTAATCGATGTGTGAGGAGGTGGTTTATTTATAATTCTTCCATTTAGTGAGAACTATACAGGGGAGATATCAGTGAGAGACTTACTGTTGATTGATATAAAGAAGCTAATGAAGGCAGGTGGTGTGTAAACAAGGTCTTCAATGATCTCCTGGAAGCACATTGCCTTGGATGTGTGTGCCAAGTCAATGAGGAAAATAAGAAGAAAACTCCTGCCTTCATGTATTCAACAGTTTGATGGGGCACTTGAAATCTGTGATCTAGAACTTTCTAAAAATCGAAACTAACTAAAGAATTCGATATTTTTAATGAAGATCATATAGTGATTACATTAAATAATTGGAAGTAATTTAAAAGGAAATCACAAAAAAGTAAAAGCAACCCTAAGTTATGGATTGACCTAAAGATAACTTTTATGATATTTTGGTCTGTAAACCTTAAATGAAAGGCAGTCACAGGAGGTTTCGATTACTTTCTATAATTTAAGGTGAAATGAAACTCTTTTATACATGGAAATCATTTTTCTGAGAGGGCAAGTTAACCTTTGATGTATCTCACTGTAGTAACAACAAATAAATTAGACATGAAATGGCAAGAATCAAATAGAAGAAAATAGCATCAAACTTGATTTCACTAGAAACTAAGACAGTGTTTTGATTAAGTCATGTGTTTTTGAATTTCATGTTACCTTGTCATCACATGCCTGATATTTTCATAAGCATATATTTAATGAACCTTAATGTCTAGAATTCTCCTGTTCCTAAGACCTTTACTTAGTCAAGGAACAAAGTGCCACATTTTTCTTATTTCCCAGGACCATTGAAAATAATAGCTCTATGCAATGGGCACTGTGAAATCTGTTTTTCCTTTCCACTGTGAAACCCATCTTATTATGGGAAATTGCTCTGGGTTCAATTATGCCAAAAAGAGTGTTTTAGGATTAAATAAATAGACAGCCTTTCTGTCCTTCAGAATTCCGTTTGTAAAGTGCTGTGTTCTTTGAATATAACCAGCTAGAATGACTCAACATGGGTAGTTTAATTGCTGTATAGTCATCAGATATTTCTGTCTTCTTACAGTTGCTTTAAAATGGCAAATATTTTAGTTTAAATCTCCAAAGTTTGCAAAAAAACCCCAATCATTTTCTAAATGAAGTAAATTTTGAGTATTTGAGCAGTTACTTTTTAGTATGTAGCAAATATCTGTATGGATTGAATGTATTATTTATAAAAACCAAAATGGGGAAAAAGAGAGAAATCATTAATTATCACTTCTTCCCTACCAGTTATCCAAGAATTCTATTACTGATATATTAATCTTAATTAGTTGATATAACACTTACAGATAATGTGTATAAATTAACATTTCAAATTGGCATAGCATGCATCAAAATGTATAGATATTTGAAAACCACTAAATTAAAGTAGGAAACAATAAGGAGGAAAGAGATGAGAAAAGAATCTATATTTGTTGAAAATTAACAAGACTGTCAAACAGAAAAGAGTGAAATTAAAAGAGGAAAATCCCTTTACCTCATTTGAGCAATTATTTTATTGTATTTAAAAATTAATACATCAAAAAAGGCCCTTTTGACAGTGCCTGGTGCCTTATGATTCCCAACTTCAAGGTCAACTATTGGCTGCTGTCTACTGATGTCTTGGAGGATAGTTCAAGAAACTATTTACATGTAAACTTTAATTATTAATGTTTCAGATGAAATTTGTTTGCACTATGACTACAATCAAATCATACTATTTAAAACTTACTTTGAAGTAGATATCTTATGTGTGCTTGCTCTTGTAAGGGTATGCAAGATTCTCTGTCACACACATGTGCATGCATGATATACATAAATTGAAGCATGGATCCTGTATTTTGGATAAAAACATCAAGTATGTACAAGTGTTAATAAATTGAAGGAATGTGCAGTAAGTTGTTCTCAAGTGCTTGTCATTGAGTAGTTGTAAAATGTATTACACTCTAATATTAAGTAACTGATCCATAGACACATGCCATAAAAGTCTAATATGTTTGCAGCAGCTATGAATTGGTGATTTTCCTTTATAAGTTGTCACAGTCTGGGCAGTGTGACATCACTGAGCAATATGGTCTAGGTAGCATATACACTGTGAACTTTCTAGATTTGTGTCAGTAAGGACACTCCTTAAATGTTAAATGAAAGTTCTCATACTTTGCTCTTACACTGCTTTCTAAATGAAGTAAATTTTGAGTATTTGAGAAGTGGATGGAAAGTTGAAAGGCAGCTTTCTAGAGATTTTTTTTAAAGGACTTGGAGCTTACTAATGAGGAATCTATACTCATGACCAATTTATTGTTTTCATAGCCACACTCTAAACAATATCTCACTGGGGGTCATTTTTTGACTTATGAATTTTGGGGAGACATTGAGATTGAACCTCTTCATCCTGTTAATTACTAACTATAGGTAATTCACCTTTATTTAACTTTTGTAATATTGCATTTATTCGTTTTTGAGTGCAGGTGTGTGCTAATCTGTGTGAGGATGCATGTTATGGCACACAGATGGAGATCAGAGAGCAACTTTCAAGAGTGGGTCTTCTTTCCGTCTGTCGCATGGCCCTTGAGAATCAACCACATTTGTTCAGGACTGGAGGAAATCTTTATCGTCAAGCCATCTTGTTCACCCTCTCAATTAATATTTTTCTCTACTTTCCTTTGTGTGTGTGTAAATATGGAGGTCTGGGTTGATGTTGGGAGCGTCCTCAATGGCTCTTCCACCTTAGTATTCAGGCATGGTTCTCAATTGAACCACTGAGTGGCCTATTGGTTAATCTGTTTCTCTACCCACTTGCTTTGGTGACTTTCTGGTATTTGCCATCAAAGCCTAGGCTTACAAGGGTTTCCAGGCCCATGACATTTACATGGGATCTAAGAATCTGACTTCTGGCCCTTACATCTGCAGTGGCATTTAGTTAACTCCTGAGCCACGTCTCCTTCCTCTTAATCAAGTTTTAAAAAGCATCTTCTCTATTTTAGAATTATTTATTTGGTAAGAAGATTAATTTATATTTTGATTATCCAATGCCTTTCACAAATGGATATTTTTTCTCTTTCTCAAAAGGTTAAAAGCCAATTGTAACTTAAAATAAGGTAGTATTGGGTAATTGGCAGATAACTACACTGATAATGTAGTGATTATAGATGAAGATATTGAAGGGTAAGCATACCTTTCAACAACATTGTATGCCATCATTATCATAAATGTCTCTGATCTTACTTCTGAACTCAACACACTGTGTTGAGGCTTACTTTCTAATATAAAGGTAATTGCAAAGCATTTAATTACTGAGAGACTTTGATCATACATTAACTTAAAAATCATTAATAAAAGGATGTCCTGACTCAGGATGTGTTGGGCTCTATGGTCGGTCACTGTTGTTTTCTAATTTCATGCTAGCTTGTCCAGTTGTCTGCCCTCCACAAGTTCTTTCTTTGCTGTCCACTTTGTACAGATGCTGCTCCTATGTTGGTCGACGTGGGAATGGCCCTCAGGCCATCTCTATTGGGAAGAACTGTGACAAGTTTGGAATTGTTGTTCATGAACTGGGACATGTGATAGGCTTTTGGCATGAACACACCCGCCCAGACCGAGACAACCATGTCACTATCATAAGAGAGAATATCCAGCCAGGTGAGAACTTTGGGGCCCTGAAAACTTACCTTTCTAAACCATGAAAACCTTTCTTAATGTAATATAGTCAACATTTTACTGCATTAAAACTTGCTATTTTTAAGCTTTCTTTCCTAAGATGTAGCTATTTTATTTTAAATATAAATGCATTTTTTGAATGGCTATGAGCTCTTGAGCAGTAAGCTGATAATAAACCTATTTAAACACAGTGCTTGGATTTATGCTGTGGATCAGGCTTTGCCATTATGTACTACAGGTATGAGAATCAATGCTGTCAGGTATAATTTCTGGAGAAAATTCCAGTTGAGTCCTTCCCAAGATAATCTTAATAGTTTCTTGGAGACTTTTCTTCTTATACTTGACTATACTTAAGAAAGATTTTTTAAATTTATTTTTATTTAATTTAGAAACAAGCCTGTTTCATATGTTAATCCCAGCTCCATCTCCCTCCCCTCCTCCCCCACCCATCTACACCATCCCTCAGCTCCCTGGGAGGGTGAGGCCCTCCATGGGGGAATCTCCAAAGTCTGTCATATCCTCCTGGGCAGGACCTAGGCCCACTCCCATGTGTCCAGGCTGAGAGAGCATCCCTCTATGTGGAATGGGATCCCAAAGTCCATTCATATGCCAGGGATAAATACTGATCTACTTACTACCAGAGGCTGCATAGATTGCTGAGGCCTCCTCACTGAGGAGGGGGTTTGAATCACTCCCATGCTGGAGATTTTAAAGAATTGTTTTCACTAGTTGAAACATAATTTATGGTAAAAAACATATTTTTCTTAGAGTCTTGTGAGAGATAATATACTTATTGTAAACTTTTGTATTTCTTTCAACTCTCTTATTCAGAAATACTAGTACATTTCATTTGAAAAAAATTTCAAGTCTTGTTTGGCATTTTGGTGTAGTATGCATTTTAAGCACAAACAGAGTCAAAGGGGTTCTTACTTTCTTATTCACAGTCAATTAAGGGGCCATGTTGAATTTCTTAGGATATTCTGTAATAAATAGCATTTATGTCTTTGTTTGATCCTCATCTACTTCATTCTAGTTGTCACAGCACTAGTTGCAGAAAACCACTATAAAAATGTAAAGCTTAGTATGAACTATGTGGATAGACACAGACAAGTATGTGTGAAAAAGGAATAATAGGCCTGCTTTGAGAACACCATAGAGTCTGAGAAAAGCATGACAAATATTACTTTGGCAAATAAAAACAGTTGTCACCATAGTTAGAATTAAGAGAAATTCAGAAGAAAAGAAGTAAACAGTGAATTAAAAATACAATGAAATATTTAGGCTGTAAATCTCGTAATAATTTTTAGCTCTGTCCTACTGCTCTATGGTAAATTATAAGTGGGGGATTGGTTATTAATTATTAATTGCCCAGGGAAGTCAGATTACCAAGAATCAGACTCATCTCTATAGGTCTAGGAAATTTATGATTTGCCCTATACTGGGGAATAATTGAAGAATTGTTTCCTCATTTCTGTTATATTGCTGTGGTAAGACATCCTGACCAAGGTGACTTACAGAAGCAATAGTTTACTTGGGGTTTACTGCTTTAGAGGGTTGGCATTGGAGTATATGATTGTCATGACAGAGAGCACGGGTGCAAGGAGAAAGGCATGGCAATGGAGCTGTAGGTGAGAGCTTACATCTTTATATGCAAGTAGGAGAAAGAAAGAGCTAAATGGGAATGATATAGCTATTTAGAACCTCAGAAACAACCCCAAATGACCCACTTCTTCTAACAGTTCCACCACCTGAGCACCAAGTGTTCAAGTGTAAGAGCCTATGGAGGCCATTTTCATTTAAACTATCATGGATTGTAAACACAGCTCAGATTAAAAAAAAAAAAAACTCTACTTGCTGTGGGAATTTTAACTTTGGTGGGGAGATGAAGCTAAAGTTCTGGAGAATTAGCAGAAACCTGCATAAATAGTTTCTGTGGGATGAGTATTTGAGCAGGAAAGGGTAAGAAGAAGACATACAAACAGTCTCAAAAAGGCTTTAGGGGGAAGATGAGTGGGAATATTCAGAAGTTTTATTCCAGGCAACAATATGAGCATGATACTATCAAATGGAACAAGACACATAGGATAGGAAGAAACAGGACGGACACCAATAAAGAAACACAAATAAAAAGACAAACATTAATTTCTTTTAGCCTAACTCTGGAAGGGAAAACCCTGTGATTATCTTTCATGGTAGCAAAAGAGTGATAAGACTGAGCTTTGAGGTATCTATAGATAAACATTAAGTATTGTATTTGACTATTTATGGGCAACAGCTGACAAAAAAAGGTTGGCATATAAGTCAGTCATCAATCTCATTATCCAGGGGGGCATTTAAGGTTGCCTCTTCTCTGTTGCTTAGATTGTTAGCTGGTATCATCTTTGGAGATCTTCAGACATTTCCCTAGTGCCTGATTTCTCTGTAAACCTAAAATGTCTCCCTCTATTATGGTATCTCCATTCTTGTTATCTTCTATTCTTCCCCTGACTCAAACTTTCTGCTCCCTCATGTCCTCTGCATCCCTCCTCTTCTTCCCTTCTCATTCTCCTAGGTCCCCCCTCTTCCTGTGCTCCCAATTTGCTCAGGGGATAGCAGACACCCACAACTAATCACTGAACTGAACTGGAATCCGATGCAGAGAGGACGAGTGAAGAGCAAAAGGGTCCAGACCAGGCTGGTGAAACCCACAGAAACAGCTGAGCTGAAAATTGGGGAACTGTTGCTCCCCAGACTTATAGCTGGGATACCAGCATGGGACTGATCCAGACCCCAGGAACGTGGATTTCAGTGAGGAAACCTCAGAAATCTACGGGACCTCCTATAGTAGTTCAGTACTTATCCCTAGGATAGGTGTGGACTTTGGGAGCCCATTCCACATAGAGGAATACTCCCTGAGCCATTCACTTGTGGGTGGGCCTAGGCCCTATCCCAAAGAATATGATAGAATCTGATGACACCCTATGGAAGGCCTCACCATCCAGGGGGAGCAGAAAGGATATGTGATAGGTAGGGTTTTAGTTGAGGGGGGGGTGCTAGGGAAGGATGGGAGGGAGAAGGGAACTGGGATTGTCATGTTAAACAATCTTCTTTCTAATTCAAATAAAAAAATCTGAAAAAAAAAGGTTGTATATACAAGATGGGCAGCAACAATACTTCAGCGGCATTTAGAGAATGTCTTCTGAAAAACTACAGGAACATCTATGAAGTAAGAACAAAGTCCATGGAGTATGGTATCCAGAACTGAGCGAATAAATCCTTTTTCTAGAACAATCAGTAGACACAAATCAAAGAAAATGCATATGGCCATGTGGAATATCTAGGAACTTGAACAGTTTTCAGTCTTACAATTATGTCATTAAGAGTAAACAAAGAGAAGGTAATGTTTCTGAAACTTCTTTCAAGCACCAAGTAGATGAGAGATTTGCTGTTTACCATCTTTGTATTGTCCTTTGTCTGCCAATCACTTTTATCATGTGGACCAAGAAAACAAAACAGACTTATAAGGGAGGCAATATTAGAAAATGACCCCCTTCTCCTGAGTGTATTTCTAATTTAAGATAGAGATATGTCAAAGTAAGGAAGAAATGGGAGCATAACAAAAATAGATACATAAGTAAATATAGACAGTACTAGAAAATTGTATCTCTGTAAACTGTTTTTGATTAAGCATTCAGGCTAACAGGAAAAAGAACAGTTACTGGATGATGTTTCCTGATTGACTGGAACTACCACAGTGGAAAGATTACAGACTGAAAATATCCCCATTGCAGATTAATTGTTTGTGCATTTATGACTTGATATGCCTCAGAAGTTTGAGACTATGTGGTTTTTCAAGAGTAATGTCTGAAACACACAAACACCAGCTTTAAATTTACACATAAAATATTTGACTATGATAAAAACAAAATTTGTGCAAAGACCTGGTTATTTGAATTTGTGTTAGACTATAATTGTGAATATTTATTATAAATCATAATTATTCAAGTAATATAACACACATATACATATATATACATATATACAGCAATATAATTGTAAGGAATATTATGAGGATAATAAATAGTATGCAGAAGAACAGTGTGGGTTTCTTTATCTCCTTTTGTAGAAATTAGGTCATTGTTCCACTCCAGTATTATATTCCAATTAGACATTAGAGTGAGGACATATGATTTTGGTTTTTTGCATATGAATAGATATGTGTATGAAAACAAGCAGTAATAACATCACTCACTTAGTAAATCCCTACAGGAGGTTCCAGATTTCTGTTCTCTTTCATTTCAGTTAGAAGTCTTCTCTGATGTTGTTTTCCCTGGACTCTTAGGTCAAGAGTACAATTTTCTGAAGATGGAGCCTGGAGAAGTGAACTCTCTTGGGGAAAGATATGATTTTGACAGTATCATGCACTACGCCAGGAACACCTTCTCAAGGTTGGAGTCTCAGGTTATACCTTTTGTCTTTTCATTCATTTTTTTTTTCAAGTGACTCCCCATAAAGCTGTGTTTATCTTTAGAATGATAGCCACTTTCAAATATTGCTGCTCTAGGGCAAAAAATAGAGCAGAGAAACAGTGGTGAACATTCATACTAACAGCAGATAGTCACATAAAAGATAATTTAAATATTTTTGTACAGTCTTACTAAAAGCATAAACTGAAAGTGATATTGAGAGTGCTAAAGATTAAGCAATTTTATATCCTCAAGTTATTAAATATTCAGTGAAAACAGTTACCTAACCACTCAGCATGCTAAATTGGCAAAGCATTATTTAATAAAAATTGAGAATTCACAAGTCAAATATGTGATTCTCGTGTTGCATGGAAGTGCCATACCAGATGAGTTAGGTTGTGTGCACTCACTTTTTGTGTCACTTACAGCATTGACTTGATTTCAGTAGATGAAATCTCAATGGCTATTTCAGGAAGTTTTTTATTTTCGTGTAGTTTAAAAGTGATATTTATACTCCAACTATCAACTTAAAATTGTGTCTTATTTTGAATTGTAAGTAATAAGTTGAGGTTTCGATCTATTTCATCCTAAAGATTATACCAAGTCAGTAGCTCTCAGGTAAGAAAGTTGGAATGCAAACACCAAGTTCCACTATTTCCTTTCCTTTTCTTTTTTTTTTTGACTCCCCCCTTTTTAATTCTTTTATTCTTTTTTTTTAAGCAAACCCACTACTTCCTTTTCAAGTCACTGATGTTCATTTTGGAATTGCATGCCCATTTGCTCACTTTAAAAAAATTGTTGTACACCTTTGTCTGTTTCATTTGCATCTATTGATGTTTTTAAAAAACAGTGTCACAAAGAAAGAACAAAGTCAATTTTATTCCTACGTTCACTTTTTAATGAAAATTCAAATGGCTGTTTGCTAATGATCCCTTAAAATGTGGGTTCATTTTAAAGCTTCCTTTATTAAAAAATTAAACTTTAAAAAATGTTGGGTGTTAGCAGGCCTTTGAAAATAGTTCTTTTCTAAAGTACATAAATAGACACATTTATTCACAGATACATCTTTTCAAACAGGGTAATATTCAAATAGTTATTGTTCCTGGAATTGGGATTTAAGTTTTAGTAAAAATACACCCAGAAATCTGGACTGAAATTAGAGTTATAAAATTTTATTGTTAGGTTAGAACTTGGAATTGAATTAAGTTTTCCATAGAAATATGTAAGAAATAAAGTGTGGGTCTCGGTTTAGACAAGACTTCTCTATCACTGCTCTGAATTATTTAGAATTAACCTGAGGTTTAGTTCTTTGGGAAATGGGAGGTGCTGGAGAGTAGCCAAAAGAACAAGAAAAGTTCTTTCTAGTCTTTATAAATGGTGTTTTAAGTTTGAATTTTCTGTCTCACTTTAGTCTGTCCTTTATACATTATTTGTAACTGTCACCATGAATCAGCACATTTTTACTGCCCGCAATCTGTTTGTCCCACATAGTCTTGGTCTATCAGCCTTGGATATTCTTACTGTGTTAAAATTATCTATTCATCTCCCAACCTCTTGACTGTATGCACACTTGCACAAGGTCAAACCAACCCAAATCTCAGTATAGAATTGGGGAGAATCCAATCACACTTGAGGAACTATTGACAACTTATAGTTACTAGGAGAGGGATGGTCAGGTTTTCTCCAGGAGTGTGGCATCTGATAAGCTGTTCTTGGTACAAGAAATTGCCCTAAACTCATATCCATTCTGACAGTACTAACTGGGCATACTGAGAACATGAAATTGAGAAGGAAAAATATTGGGGGAAGGTATGAGAGGAATAGGAGGGGAGGGTTTGGGTATGGGATTAGTCAAAACTCATTGTACACATATATGAAATTCTCAAACAAATCCATTCTATATATTTTCATTAAAACATCTATGTTTTAAGAGGTCATATCTAGCCATTAAAATATAGTTATCTTGTTGAGATTAATTCATTATATTTTAGATCAATGCTTAGTACTATATTTAAACAAATATTTGCAGATAATGACAGTTTTGCTACCACAAAAGTACTTGTAGATACTGTTTTTAATTGTGTCAAAACTATATAAATGCAATTTTATCATTTTAACCATTTTAAGGTGTTTGCTTTCATAGTGTTAAAGATATTCATTGTTATTAAACACAGCTCCAGAAGATTTTATGTTTCAAAATGGAAACAGAGTGCCTATTAGACAGTTCTGCTTCTTTATTTGTGTTTATCCCCAGGACCTTCAATATCCTCTTATTTCCAAATTCTATGAATTCAACCATTTTGGATACTTCTGTAATTGAAATCACATATATTTTCCCTTTGTGACTGGCATGTTACACTTAGGATTATTTCCTTAACACTTATCACAGCACGACTCATTTCTATGATACTGATGAAGAATATCATCATGTATGTTTGTGTTGTGTACGTGCATGTGCGTGTGTATCTCTGCATGCGTCTCTGTGTGTGTGCGTGTGTGCATGTGCACATGTGCTTGTGAATATGTGTGTGTATCTCTATGTGTGTTTGTTTGTGCATGTGCACGTGTGTGTGTGTGTGTGTGTGTGTGTGTGTGCATGAACACAGACATACACATTAGTGGATGGTTGGGCTGCTAGGTCACTGGAATTGCTTCCACTTTCTGGTGACCTAAGTAGCACTGCTATGTACAGGGTGAACAGGTACATATGAGAGGTGTTGCTTTCCATTGCTTTCCTGTCAGCCCAAGTAGTGGAATGCAAGGTCACATGATAGTTTGATTTTAGTTTTTGATTTCTGTCATTTTGTGGTCCCAGCAAGTGCCCATGGACTTCCATCCTCTGGGCCTCCCAAGTGCCTTTTGGTTTGTGTTGTCTTGATAGTAAGAGTCAAACCAAGGTTTGGAGGACACCATGTTGTGATTTTCATTTAGATCCCGCTCTCACTAGAATTGATTTTACAAAGGACAGAAGTCCAGTTTGTTTAATTCTCTGTGATAAATTCAGGCCTAGAACTTTGTTTAATAAATGTTTCCAGTGGACAGAATAAGTGGAGCTGAAAATGCTGTTCTCTGACCTGCAATTCAAGGGCAATATGTTCAGTTTCATATTTTGGAGTAGAATATCTCTTTGCTTATCTCAATTTAAAATATTTCATAGTCTCATTAATTAATTTAAAAGCTTTTGTGCACAATGCAAAATCTTCTGTTCTTTCTGATTTTTCCTTAAAAATTCATGTATACACTCCAGACTTCTAACCCATTTGAAGACTTTTCTAGTCCATCTGACATTTCTTCCTAGTTATAAATGTTTGATTTGCATTGTAAATTTAGAATGTATTTTTAGTGCATTGCAGTCAGAATTTTAAATTATGTATATTTGGAAAATAGTAAGTTCTTACCACAACCTGGAGTCTAAAAGAACTCTATCTTGGCTAATGTTTAATAAACCATCAGTAAATTTTATCACATTGATTTTATCTTAATAAATTAAATAATCTCTGCATTTGACTAATATTGTCATGTATAATTGGTTACTCTGTTTAATCTTATTTTTTCAACATGATTGGCAGTGCTATTTGGAACCCTAGTACAACTAGCTTCAATTAGTTTAACTAAAATTGTACTTAACTTTTGGCTCTTTCAAATTTTAGTAAACTCAAAATTGCCTGCACAAGTGGTTATTTTTCTCCCTCTGTAAGAGTTATTTTGCAATCTGATGGATCTAAGTGATTCTTAGATCAATATAGGGGAATAAAACAAAAGCCACAATGTCCTTTGTGGGTTATTGTCAAATAAAACTATTTTTTAAAAATATAACACACATTTAAGAAAAAAATGCACTTCTCACTTTCTGGAATTTAAACACGTTTATACCCTTTATACCCCTTTCCCCTGCTTTGATGAGAGTGTTTTGAAAGCCTAATATCCTGCCTTTAGTTCTGCCTGCTATAACTTCCAATTGAACCCAGGAAAAGTGACCCGTATGTTTGTTATGGCTATGTAACTTCTAATTTGATGACTTAGGTATGATTTGCTTCTGCTTTCCAGGGGGATGTTTCTGGACACAATTCTCCCTTCCCGTGATGATAATGGAATCCGTCCTGCAATTGGTCAACGGACCCGGCTAAGCAAAGGAGACATTGCACAAGCAAGAAAGCTGTATCGCTGTCCAGGTATTGCACAACAAACACAGGAGATTTGCATGTGTCCTTGAGCTTCACCAGAAAATCAGGCCTTGATTTCCTCAGCTCTTCTCTTGTGTGTCTCTATGCTTGCAAATGGCATCCATGTTTCAAATTCAGCAATTTAAATGAGGATAAAGAGAATTTTAGAGCATGTATAGCTGGGAACTGTACTGAGAATTAAACTCATAAATGGTCACATAGCTAGAAAAATTTCAGTTGGTTTATATGAATAATTTTTGCAGAAAATTGAGGGTGCTATCAATATTTGATATGCTATCAAAATTTTAGGATGGTACTTATTTAAAAATTATTCATGTACTAAATTATTGGGGTCTCTTATATTAAGACTGCCATGACTTCTGGAGTCGGTCATGAATATTTTCTTTAAGAGAGTACAAGTTGGTTCATTTGCAAAAATTAAAATGTGGTCATGGACATACAGCATAGAGGTTTTGAATAGATTATAAACTAGAATAAATAAAAGGGGAAAACCTAGAGTACAAGAAAGACAAAAATGAATTGGTTGAATAATCCCAGGGAATGGCTAGGAAGTTTATAACTCAGTACAGATGATTACATTAATTCACTGATTTGAGACCATAGATATTATTGGGCCTTTTCTAAGACAAAAAGGTTTCATTTGTCAAAATCATGTTTTCTAGAGGAAAATTTTAAGAATGTTACTTCAAATTTTATTGTAATAGATTTCTTAAGATACAGGCCTATTAAATGTTCAAGATATTTATATAGTTATAATTTAAACCTGTGCTTAAAACCTGTGCATCTTAATTATTCAACATTGAAAACAAATTTTAATATTGTTGAATATAAATGTATCTGTGTATCCAATTTTCACGTTGAAAATCATTCTACTTAATGCCATTTAATCTATTTAGTTATACTGGAGTTGGGTTTACATTTGAATAAATGCCTTTTTAAATTCTGATAACCTCATGCCACATTTCTGGAACTTCAGGTATTAGGAGGCTAAAATCAGAGAATCATAAAATCAGAGCATGTCTAGTCAACAGGTTAAGTTCAATGTCAGCATGGGAAATTGGTGACAACCCATCTAAGAAAAGATAAAAGTTGAGGATGTATCCCAATGATAGAATACTACACTAGCATGTCAAAGTCCTTGAGTCAATCCTTAATACTGAAATAAGATGATAAATGCATATATAGGAATTACATATGTGTATATGGCATTACTTTATTTTTATCTTCATCACTAATTTTGTAGCAATGATTTTAGAAGACAATGACGCCAGTGTGACAGAAGCACATGGACAATCCTTATTAGTCTTGTGACATTTGTATATATTATATAGTTAAGAGCACCCAAAATCGGTAGTTTATGTGTAACAATAACTCTGCCTGGCTTCTGCTGCCACATTAGGGCCCCCAAATAAACAAATATAAGACAGAGAGTCTTATATTTGTTACAGTACTGCTGGCCAATGACTAGGATTTCTTACTTGCTAGTTCAGTCTTAATTATCAACTGTAACTACTAATCTATATATTTTTATAAGGATTTATCTTATGGAGGACGCTGGCGGCATGTGTCCTTTCTTGCTGGGATCACATGGTGACTCCTCCCTTTACTACATTTCCCAGAATCCTCCTTGACTCCTACTCCTACCTATCTTGCTTTCCTGTTGTCCAACAGTGCTTTTTTTTATCAACCAATAAGACAAACATATATACAAAGGACTTCCCCCTTCATTTATGTATGAAGCTACTTTGTTTCTCTAGATAACATGCATATCACACTTGGAATCACATTAGAGGTGCATTTGAATGTAGAATTGCAAAGACATCACTAAGAATTAAAAGTAAATTTATGACACTATGATTATCAGTCTGCCATTCTTATATATTTCAGATATTCATATTCCTGTGAATTATAATTTGATGTAGCTTGCACTCTTATGAATTCATTAAGGTAGACTCTATAAATGAGCCATAACTGATAGTTTTGATTAATACAGTAAGATCAATTGTTCATGCAACCTCATGATCCATGAGAAAAATATTGTAGGTTTTTAAGGCTGTGAAAAGTGAGTTGCTCTTTATAGCTCTTGCATCACAGGGGATAAGACATGCATCAAATTGCACAATCCTACTGAGTTTGCCTTAGCCTCAGTCTTTTGTTAAATTTGTGTTGGTGAATAAAGCCAATAAAAATAATCTGGCTACTTTTTTGCCAACATTATTTTCTGATCAGTTTACCTGCAAAGGTCTCTTAGGTGTGTCTATATGTTATAGAACAATTTTGTTGAGTTAAAAAAATGCTTGAAGTAAGCACTAACCAGGTAATGTGGGTGATTGGATATACAGACAGTGGCTTTTATTGTCTGTGATAATGATATCCTCTTCCAAAAGGACAAGTTAATAGTGATCTGGCTGTAAACACTATTGCTTCCTCCTAGAGAATACAGAAAATAGCTTAAAATATTCAAGTAGTATATACAACGCATATACTGTTAATTTCTTCAAATTAGTGTTAACTATTTTATAGGAATATATATTGAATCCATGCCTTGTAATTTATTGTATTTACACACACACACACACACACACACACACACACACACACACACACACACACACACACACACACACATTCAGTTACCTCTGTACAGTCATTGCATATTTATCATGGAAAATCTTAATGTAACAGTAGGATTTGATTTTTAAGGTGGCATTAAAAGGATGAGTTTCTTAGAGCTTAGAACTGTTTTCACTTCAATTTCTTGCTTTTAGTTTTAGAGCCAGGTGAAAAGTCTTCTTTGTTTATTATGGGAAGAGTGAAGGTGATTCTTTACAGCCCATCAACCCTGCTG